ACGCGTATTCCTTTAACTAGCACTGGAAGTAATTCCGCACTGAATCATAGTGTTTCAAGTCTGCTTAATTTCAGCAATTTTTGAAAGATCTCTCGGTAATCACTGGTAGCACTATAACACTAGACAACTTGTGGTATGTTCGTGATGCGATTTTCATTGAGGTCGGTGATCATCCAGTAGAATTTCCTATTTCGTTATTTTGAAACATACACACCTTCCAATCTCATTTTCAATTGAAATTCGTCAAGTATCTTTTGAAAGCATAGGTTTTTGAAATTTCCTGATCAACTACCTCGAAGATATCATCATTCAGCAGATGAATTCCAGCTCTCCAGCCTCATAATTGCTCAACGATTCAACATTGCTCAAAACAATCAATCTCATATACCTGAGTAAACGTTACTGGTTGTGATACAGTACTACTACCGATACTGACAAGAATCATATTAATAACCTTGTCAAACCATGTCATTGGAGCATCAATAATAATGTTACTATCAACATAAAGACAATACCAAGAAAATGATGATTATTAATGATAGCAACCGTTATGCTAATATAATCATCCTAAAAACCATTTTGATGATTTCAGAGACTGCATCATAAGAAGGATAACCTCATCAATGATACCACATATAAAAGAATCGATGAAATAGTGGATAAGATGGAAAACTATGAGGATGGTCTTGGTAAGGACATCAAACATATTTTGATATCCATCGGGCATTTGATTTCCTCTGAAAGTCTTTTTTATCTTAATCAATGAATTGCGCATAGATCGATGGACTTTCAAATGAGAACACGTAAATTTTAGATCTCACGCCAGTGGACAACATCAACTTCACAGTGGAGATTGCAAAAGTCCGAGGTGGAGGCGCTCTGTGGGCATTCATGAATCACTTCGAATTGAAGGTATTCCACAATCCTAACGTTCCATAGGTAGAGCTGCATAATGCCAGCTTAACATCGACTTCGATCGCAGCTATCTATAAGCTGGTGCACTTGAAATTATTGATTCTTAGAGAGGCCAGTTTTAATATGCCGAAATTTTAGTTGTTCTGCAACGACCCAAAGAATCAGGATAAACCGCAATGTAACTGGATGAAACACATGCGATACTATGCGTTTTCTGCGGTAAGTTTGATCGGTATGACTTAGGTGTTTTCCAACAGAATTTTAGAGTCCCCTTCATCTGAAGGCCTTGAGAAGACGGTAGTCTTGAAGGTGCCACCCGAGACAGTATTAATAAAATGCCTATATCTCCTCAAGTAAGCAAAATTGCTTATCGTTAGTAAAATTTATAATATTTTGAATCTAGAGGTTCCGCTGGATCGACTGGTGAAAAGAAATTCACATGTTACCGGGCAAACCTGAGAAGGCGGTTAGCTCGAAGATCGCAATCCGTCTATTGCTAATATGAACGTATTGATTGCTCTATAGTGATCAATTTGTATGAATGAGCGCGACTGCGCTACCGAATTGAGATAGATCTAAGTAAATGGCTATAGCTCCTCAGGAAAGCAAAATCGCTCAACAAAATATATGTTACTCTGATTGAGGAGATCCACCTGGATCGACTGATGCAAAAAAATTCATATGTTACTGGGCAAACTTGAGAAGACGGTAGCCTTGAATGTTGCACCCGAGAGAGTGTTAATAAAATGCCTACATCTCCTCAAAAAGGCCAAATTGCTCAGTAAAATTTTTAACATTCTGAATCTAGAGGTTCCGCTGGATCGTTTGGTGAAAAGAAATTCGCATGTTTCCGGGCAAACCTGAGAAAACGGTTAGCTCGAAGATCGCAATCCGCCTATTGCAATTATGAACGTATTGATTGCTCTGTAGTGATCAATTTGTATGAATGAGCGCGACTGCGCTATTGAATTAAGATAGACGTCCAGAAAACGGCTATATTTCCTCAGGAAAGCAAAACAGCTTGGCAAAATCTATGTTTTTCTGAATGTACATATCCAGCTGGATCGAATGATGCAAAAAATTCATAGGTTAAAATGAATTCACCCATTTCAAACTGCACACTCATTAGCGCATTGACTTGATAGTGCTTATTCTTCCGCGGATGATAAATTGAAGATCATAAATTGAAGTGATTCAAAAGGCTGAAACATTTTTTTGGTTCAAACATTTGAGCTCATCGACACCATATTTTTGATTGAAGATGCAGACCGTTAATTGTTCAAATAACACTTCAGTTTATCATTGCCTGAAAATTACCAACACTTGTAGATCTTTCTTTCATTTCTGGAGGAGAAAATTAAGCCGCTGATTGTAAGTAAGATTGTCGTAAAATGCTTGTTTTCGAAACAATGTGTTTCAGCACGACAATGCTTTATCAGCGCTGATGGCAACGCTTGGTGCGAAGGAAAAACTGGTTCCATATGGCTATCCCGAATACTCAGCTTGTCTAGCACTTGAGCTCTGGTTAACCAGCAAGGGTCCAGCAATACGAGTATGTTATGAATGCACTGAATTATTTAATCCTCTTACCTGTGACCAACCCTTCGGAAGCACTTTTCAGAGCGATTGTTTTAGATTTGCTCAAATCGAATGAGATTCCATTCATTCCGCAGTGATTCTGATTGACATGCCCCGTTGAATTCAACAATTTCCATTGAACTCGTCAATGACAAAACAATAGCGATAATCGCTTAAGTGAATTTCAGATGCTGTATCATGCGAATGCCTCAACTGAGTTCGAAGACGTCACAAGGAAAATAGCTGGTGAGTGACTTGGATTATTCTTGTCAACGTTGTGAAATCGTCTTCATTTGGTCATTCCGAGCACTAGAACTGTTCTGCTCGGAAAATCAATCTGGGAACATCTCAACCTCTTACGAACGCAATGTGAAGAATGGACACCGTTATTTGAAGCGATGAATTATCCTAGCGGCGTTTTGCTACCGAAACCATTCTCTTTACCATTGATTTTACTACCACTGAGCTGCTAGTGCATTCAAGATGTATGTGATAATGTTTTAAGCAGCGTAAGATATGATCCAGAGGATTTCAAGTGGCCGTTTATCAATCCAATCCAACAGGAACATCTCCTTGAGCAGTTTCCATTCAGCTGAGGAGTTGATCTGTTTAGCTGTCTGCCATGTTGTTTTCATTTCAGGATGTGAGAATCTAAGCAGTGATAAATGTGACTATAACATTGTTCTCAAAACTGCCAAGATATTCTATCCAGGAAAAGACCAGGAGAATGTGGTGAATATTGCTTGTTGAAATTTTCTTGTTCACTTCATGCTGCAATTGTCAATTGCTCGGTGGTACATTCTGAATTGCCGTTGAACTCATAGCGCAGATCTATCGAACTATCGAACTGCTGAATGTAGTCAGTGGAAAATGGATTGAAAGTAGCACCATGGCAAACCATAGTTTTGGAAGTGTATCTGAGTATCACGAAGCGATTGACTTCAATTTTCTATTTTAGAGCATTTTTTGACAACATGAAAGAGGTGTGTGGAAGTTTTATATGGGGAAGGTCTATTGCCTATGGTTCCTATCACGCGGTTTATTTCAGCTTTGCCAAGACACGACGTCACCGAATACGGACATGTGGACATATACGAAAGCCTCCTCAGCCTCCCCAGCTTCCTCAGCCTCCTCAGCTTCCCCAGCCTCCTCAGCCTCCTTAGCCTCCTCAGCTGGATCAACCTTCTCAGTTAATGCATCACTTCTTTCGGGTTCGTTTCCGATTTTATGGTGATGAATTTTTTCTAATGTTCTGGGCGAATGGTAAAACAATCCCGTATGAAGTATTTCCTGAGCCTATCGGTTATTTTGATGAAACCATTCGACCAGTTTTATCATTATTATTGGCAGTTCGTCCATTATTATACTTAGATCTGTAAAGTACAAATTCTTCCAGCTCTGATGATGATTGCGATGAGCTGGATGAAGATGCAATGAAGGAGTGACATCTTCTGCTGAAGAATGTTACAGCCTCATAGGCTGAATAGTTCCTCAACATATATATGCAATATTGTACTCATTTTTCAAGACATACAGCTCTAAGACAGTACTAAACCATGCATTTTTGATTTCTCTTCTCCAAGCAATACAGCTCATCATTTCTATGTTTGTCACTTATCATTCCTGAATATCCTCGTAGATTTTCATATCGTCATGTATTTCGATTGGCATTTTTCGACGTGTTATCTGATTGAATGTTCCATTTTAATCCTACAATACGATTTTTCATCTAGAATTTTTTGTAACAGATAATTTCTTCGGAGAGTTTCTATTGTGTCTGCAGCAATTCATGTGATAGTTTAGTCCAATTTTGATCTTCTATTGTCAAATTTTCTGTGATATTTTAAAGCTCAAACTAAGAACAATTGCGGTGAACTGTGATATTCCGATGCTGTTCAATTTCTCATTCCACTAGTCATTCTAGTTTGCTGCATATGTATAATACAGTATGTATTGTCATTATTAAATATTGCCTAATAATAAAGCTTGCTATAACTAACATAAGATCAGATATATCTTTTATTCTCGTCAATAACAAATTGTCGTCACTCTTGCTGTAGTAATTGTCATTATTGCCGTCAATATTATAATCACTGTTACGATTGCTGTAAACTGTATGCTCAATAAAACTACTCAAAATCATCTCATTCGTCAATCAGTGACTTTTGCTTAGAAAAGCGATTAATCACTATGGAACTGTGAACTTTCAAACATGAAATTTTTATAAACATCCGTATGCGCGATTAGGCAAGGCGATTTTTACATGGGAACTAATCGGATAAAATTATACGCATTGCACATAAACCAGTTCACTTTCTACAAACAAAATNTCACCATCACAGATATGGTTGCTTCAAATTGTTTGCTGACGTGAACGGAACTGCTCAAAGCTAACAGTCTCAAACGGCTCAATAACGATTTGACTCACATCTTCCCAAAAATTTCTCTGATTGTAAGATAAATCACACCGTTCAGTTAATGCACAGTGTTCGCTACACAATGTCTGCTTGTTGCACATGTTGCACTCATCAACTAATAATGCATCAGTGCAACAAGCGAAATTGCGTGAAAAACTATCCATCTTAAGGGAATGTTACGTTTCCTGGTATTTTTCGAAACAGCAATAGTTGTTAGCCTTCAGAGAGACATTTGAGTGAGGAATTGTCTGAAAATGAAAACAACACACGGGAAACAGTCTTTTTCGTTGAATGATCAGTTCAAAGCACTTTTTCGATCAGATAAATGTTTATGAACGTACACAGAATTCAAGGCGATTGGATTGCGAAAAGATACGATGGAAGTTGAGTTTGTAAGTTTTAAAGACAACTCCTTTCAAAATACAAGAGAATTAAACACACCACTATGTTCGCCTTATCAGATTAGTGAAATTTGTTTTAGGTTTTTTTACTTACCGTTAGTTGAAACAAGCTATTTACGTGCTGTGCAGTTTGTGGTTACGTTGCTGTTGACATATTCAAAATGCTGATAACGAGCAGTGACCCAAAACAATAAAATTTATTTTGAAAATGTTGATGATTATTACTGATTTTTTACGATCTTGTTGATATCGCCATGCAATATCATTTTGTTTGCTGTCACTAAATTTTCTTTTAATGAAGACAAATAAAGTCTTTTTCTAAGAGTTTGTACCAACAGCCCATTCAACAAATGGAACGTCTGCGTAACTTCTTATACGATTAGTAAAAGAGCAAGAGCACACTCCGACACGATGTCAATGTTACACGAATAATATCATGCTGTGTTCTGTGGTTTCAGTGTTATACAAATATCGTGCACCTGGCAGAAAAATGAGATTGAAATTGGTAGGATTTGATATTTGAGGATATGAACCGAATGCTTATACCACAAGTTCAATTCATAGAGGAATTGCTTTAGTTTTCAAGAATCGTTTTCGTCTTGCACAAATATATTATCGATAAAGATTTTACTAGCAAATTCTGAGGTTATCGCCAAAATGATGTGTTCGAAGAATTCACTGGTGAGGAGAAGAGCAATGACAAATCTGAAAATTGTTCAACTTACGAACATTCTATCGACCAAAACAGTCTGTCAAATTAGGGAAATAAGTGCCGAGTCTCGTATGGCATGAATGAATAAGGCCAGATGAATCTGAAGTACGCTGGTTCTTCATTGAACAGACGAACTGATCAGTGGCTCGAAACTGGACAAGCGAGATTCAGTAGGTAAATGTTTTCTTCTGCACTTCATCAATTCAAGCAATTAATGTTAAACCATCACTGATCAGTTAGTAATGAGCATTACTCCTTTAAAAATACATCATCTCGTCTTTCATAAGCGATTTTTCGTCTTAGTGATTGCAAGGAAGCAGTTTTCATTAGTAGAATGAACGTGTCGATTGAAAAAAATCTATGTTTTGAATGTACAAATGCAGAGCAAAAATCTTCTGAAAAAATGACTGATTAGTTTTTTTCAGAATGCTGTGCTAAAAATTTTAAAAATCTAAGGACTAAAATTAGAATCTCATGATTTTTTTCTTAGTGTCAATAATTTGTCTCATTTTTGAGAGTCTAATCTCATGGTTTTTTTCATGCTTAATTTCGTTTGAGCGAGCGTCTAAATAAGATTTTTACTGAAGTGAGCTCGACAGGGAAAGAGATAACGAATGATCGATAGGACTGATTGATTGATAAAAATAAATGGTTTCGATTGTGCAATTAGCTTGTGACTCA